CCGTCCAACCAGTACCCGTCTGAGCGGCGATACTCAGCCTCATGCGTGCTGGGACTCAGCGCAGTGTTCCTGGCCTTCAGCATGCTGGCGCTCGTCATGGTGTTGCTGATGCTCCAGAAAATGTACCTGCCTGCGAATCAACTCAAAGACAACTTGGTCCAGAAAGTGACTGACGATCTGAAGTTCTCCAATCCCGGCTATCTGCACTACTACATCAGAATCCCGGTTCTGATCCTATGCGGTTGCTTTGCGTTGGGATGCGGCAACCTGGCCGCTTTCATTAGCGGCCTGTTCGCTTGGAAGCGCTGGTATGTCGATCAGAACATCACCTACTTCTTCCTCAGCTGCATTGCTTCCACCGTCACTTCGGCCCTGTCCATCCTCATAAATGTGGTCACGTACTCCAACTTGGAGTTCACCTACTTGGATGACCAGGATCAGGAGGCACCTCGAACATTGTCGCCTCTTTCGGCGTCTCTGGCGGCAAATGCGATGCTCCTTGCAGTTTTAAGCGTCGTTTGGTCGTTGCTGGCCACCAAACTGGCGTACCGCGGCATGACCAGCTACTACCCGGAGGATGCGATGGAAAGCGGCCGCAACGTGGCAGTGCAACCTAAAAAGGGACGGGCCCTGCAGAATAGCATCCCCATCGAGATCGTCAACCGCTTCGCTGCAGAATCAATGGCAGGCATTCTGCCCAAGAAGGAAAACTGCGATCTGCCCAAGCAGGAGACCACTGTGGAGTATCAGCAGCGCGTCAATAAGTTTCTGAGCGCGTCCGGAACCAAAGAAGGCGAAGCGAGCGCCAACCATGTAAGCCCGACTGATAGATAGAATAGTTGTTTCCTTTTAAACACTATATATAGGCAACGAATTGTACTTAATTGTTGGGGGCTACCAGTCGTGTGGTAGAAGCCAGCCGAAATGTGTCATAATAAATGGATTAAGGTACTTAATAAAACAAGCAAGTTTTAGTGTCTCCTGTTCTTGGCTTGGAATATCACCGTTCCGGCAAACTACACCAATTTCATCTGATCATTCAATTAAAACACTTCTAAAACGCGTATACAGGGTTATTCACGCTATACGGCACGGCAGTTTGCGGCTAAACCGTTTGATTTTTAAACGTTTGATTTTACCGAGCGCCCATTTTAAAAATTTTTTCGTAATGTACAGGGCCAAAGACTCTAAAGGTATCAAAGTTGCGTTTTTTTAAACGAAATGTCCTGTATATTATTGCATTTTTGGATTCGCTGAATAAAATAAGTGTCTGTTTTAATAAGGTTTATAATACCTAAATCTTAAGGTTTTTTAAATAATACGAATGTAATCAAAATCTAATCAATTTTCACGTGTCAAATCCTTTAGAAGTATTTGAGTAACAAGATATAATATTTCAAAAAATCAAAATAGGTGGTCAGTTAATGTGTGGGGTGGAATACTGGGCCAATATTTAATTGGACGCTATTTTTTTGAAGGACATCTAAATGGTTTGATGTTTCTCCAGTTT